ATTACAATACAGGCAGGAAATACGAAATTCCGTTAACGTATTTTCGTTCCGTTACGAACATTCGTTATGATGAAGTTAAAAAGCAAAAATACCTTTGTTAATATTGGAGTTGATGCCTTGATGGTAGTTTTTTTTAAATCCAAAATACGAAATTCGGATCCGAAATCCGTTAACGGAATTTCGTATTTCGTTTGGTTGACCAATCAGAGGTTTTCTCTTCTGCTGCTGAGGGTTGCATTACAATACAGGCAGGAAATACGAAATTCCATTAACGTATTTTCGTTCCGTTACGAACATTCGTTATGATGAAGTTAAAAAGCAAAAATACCTTTGTTAATATATTGGAGTTGATGGTAGTTTTTTTTTTTTAACCTGAAATATACGAAATTCGGATCCAAAATCCGTTAACGGAATCTCGTATTTCGGATAACAAAAAAAACTACCATCGACTCCAATATTAACAAAGGTATTTTTGCTTTTTAACTTCACCAAAACGAATGTTCGTAAAGTTACGAAAATGTGACGAAACTAACGAAAATTCGTATTTCGTGCGCATCCGAATTTAGTTTCGGACACGAATTACGAAATACGAAATAACGGATATTCCGAAACGAAACAAATTTTCTGACGGCTATAGCTAGAAGCACTAGATGGGAAAGCTAGAAGCACTAGTGCAGACATGCTATAACAAAGCTATAGCTAAAAAATAAGCTATAAATATCAGGTGAAGTCTATCGACCGTGTAGATTGGCAAGTCCCTCCAAGAGAGAGGATTCAGGAGAGATAAACACCACTAGAGTGCAGTAATCCGAAAATCAATAGACTCTAAGAGAAGGGGGATTATACATCAAGAGAGAAAAATAGGGAGCTGAAGTCCCCGGTCATGGAGCGCTACATAATTCAGGATTATGAACATTGTGGTACTGGGATCCAGAAAATAAAGCAAAATCCAAAAGATCAGATACCTGAATTGAGGGTTCAGAGTAAAAACCTAAAGACGAACCTAAGGCCAGCACAGTTATAGTGAAGGGCTTCCTGGATATGCTCAAGAACCTGTAAAATTCGAGGAATCAGATTTAAAACATGTGATCTATACAGACATAGTTTCACAATTAAAGTCACCACCTGTGTAGGAGAGTTGTTCCAGTTAACTCAAAGTGGCACTTAAACAAGGACTCTTAAATGTCATCCTTAAATGTAAAGACATATTCACAAGGTGATATAATGTCTAGTTAAGGTGAAGGACTGGAGAGTCCACAGAGGTAATGCCCTGCAGGAATTTCCTATATAGGGGAAAATCCTGCCTCACAACATCAGGAGGCAGTAATAATAGCGTAGTAAGTTCCAGTCTGCACACAGAAAGTTTCCTAAAGGGAAGGTCTTTGCTGCAGTATGAGCCAAAGAAGAATCTAAATCTGGATCGGCAGAGTGAGCTCCTGCAGGCATGGTCGGGTGCACAGCGGCAAGCAGATTAGACATAACACAAAGCATGTCAGTATCCTCAATGGTCGCGTAAAAAAAATAAGAAACATCACACAGGAGTATGGGAACGATTAATGTGATGATTCTGGTTAAGAGAGAGAAAAATAATAGGATAATCAACAGTGGCGGACCTAATAGCCAAAGGGCCCTGGTGCAAGATGTTATCACACTGGCCTCCCCCCAGCGGTCCAATAGCGTGCTGGACTTACCTGAGACCCTGCCGAGCACACCATAGATCCTGCATAGCCCACCTGAGACTCTTTATGGTGGGCTCTGAAGGGTCCCAGGTGGGCTGGCCTGGTCGTCGGGATACCTTTCCCTGTACATCCTCCCAACTCTTAACTGCTGCTGCTGCTGGGGCCCGGCCTCCTCCACCCCCTCCCCTGTCACCTCTGCCCTGCCACCTCGGTACAGTTGATACCCATGTAAAAGGCCCCCCAGGCTGCCCAGACCCCTCACATGGGTACCGGCCATACCCCCCTGATGGCGGTGAATGTGTGACCGGTGACGTGATGACACGTTTTAACGTAATCCCAAAAAGTTTTTCGCTGTGGAATGTGTGACCCCCAATAGGTGAAGCATTCCAGCGCTTTCCCAGCTGTTCCAGGGCAGATCAGCATCGCAAATCGCATATGCAGGAGAACCGATCTGCCCTGAAACGGCTGATCGGTCCTGAAATGTCACTTCTCTCCGACTGCGATCTCACATTCCACCGCGCTCACAAAGTCGGATAGAAGTGACATTTCAGGACCGATCAGCTGATAGAACAGAGGCCTGTCTGTAATCATTTAATCAGAGAAATAGATTATAATCGGGAACATTACAGTGTAATATTCCCCAGTATAATCCACTTGTCTAATTACATGAAATAGCAAGAGCCAGAGGCTCGCAGCGAGAGGGAGTTTCGAATCGATGTGTGCACTGCAGGGGGCGTGGACACACACACTCGCCCCCTCACTGAGAAGCCCATCGGCAGTGCGGGGCCCTGGTGTTCTAACACTGGGACCCTGCACTGCCCCATATTGCAGGACCAGACACCACTGAAGCTGTGGGGGGTGCCCAGGACCGGACCCCACTGGGCCCCCACACAGCCTTAGGCCCCGATGCGCCGGCACCAGCTGCACCGGCGGTAGTTCCGCCACTGATCCTCAATCATACTTAAAGGTGAACTTTCCCCAGAAACAGGGGGGGATGGGACCTCTAAAGGTCTTTTAAAAGACATAAGTCACCAGCCAGTTTTTGTGCTAAACATCTAGATCCAAATAAAGACCAGGCCTTGCATACTCACAAACCAGAGACAAACATTGTGGCAGTTAAAGGCAGCTGGAGGTGCAAAGCCACTAAAGACAGGCAGTGGATCAGACCTGAGGAACATGTGGTGCTGCTAAATAGGGGCAGCAACAATGCAAGTCTTTTCCTCCAGAAAGTGAAACGCTAGGAAATGTTATATGGGAGCAGGCTCATCCATTAAGGATTTGTGAGACTCCTCGTAGACAGGACATCTACATTAGAAGGCTCATATGCCACAATAGCTATAGGAACATCAGAAAAAGAATCTGAGGTAGGCTTAAAAGTGTAGAACCAGCAATGATAGTTGTAACTGCTGCAACTTTACCTTACACATTGCTAGACACCAGGAACAGAGCGAGGGTAACGTGCTGTGAGTTACACAGAACACGATGCCAGTAAACTGTATCCACACACTGCAGAACAGAATGAGCTCAAGAGAAAGCTGCACAGTGTAAACTGAAATAGTGACAGAAGCTGGGCATACGGAAGAGGTCCCACACAAGTAAAAAAGCAATGGATTTGAATATTCAGTAAGTCAGTCAAACACAGTGGCTTCAGTAAGGCTGATCTCTACACAATGGGACACCCTGTTAAAAAGAGAACCTAATGTTGATTTAGTGGGTGGAGCTTCTACTTTTTTTTCTGTTTGCCAGTGTCCACCTAATGAAGGCAGCTGCATATAACCCACATGCCTAGGATTACTATATCGCTGCGTCGCTCAATGGATGACGCACTTTAAGAAGTATTTTGTTGGCATGAGTACTGCAGCACGCATGTGCCATATATAATATACATTAAATAGGCTGTCATTCAGTTTAACAATTCTCCTTTAAACCTCTCCTATTGCAAGGTGTGACCTGAACACGCTCACGTTTTTTTCCCCTCTCTTTGCACTCATGTTTTTTTATCCCCTCTCTTTGTCTGGTTCCATCACAATCCTTGCAATGCTCCTAACGTCTATGAAGTGACAGTACACAAATTCTACACTATGAGTAACAGACATCAGACATGACAACGCATCAGACTTACTCCAAACTTGGGAGACCCTCATCATCTGACTGGGTCATCTCATCCTCAGACTGATCACTAAGCAGGTCACAAGGTAACACTGTAGAGCTGTCTGCAATCTCCAGAACTGGCGCAATGCTGGGTCTTCTGGTGCCAGAACCGTTTTCTGATGGCAGTGTCAGCTTGCTGCTGTTTACAGGACGACAGTCCGTGTTCTGAAGATCCATTGCAACCGTCCCTTTAACAAAAAAAATGATCTATACATTGTATTATTGTTTCACAAAACAACTTTTCTGACAATGTTAACATGAAACTTTATGTACTTTCACTGAGTACTCATTTGATTTTGTACTGTAAACTTGCATGCTCTTCCAAATTTTCATAATTATGTACATAAACAGATTGTTATCCTGACAGTACAATCAGCATTTTTGCCAAATGACTTCTCCAAAAAAATAATAATATATAATTCACATGGCTAGTCTATTGTTTTCAGGGAATGTCTATTGGTTTTCAAAGAAAAGCATAGTGTCATTTCAGCAAGCACTTATTTTAAGTTATTATTGCAGTGTTTACATAAAAAACATATTTTTGTGATTTTTACATTTTGCAAGCTTGCTCTTCCAAGTTGTTCTTCCAAGTAAGCTCCACAGGAGCTTACAATCTAATGGCATATTTCAGCAGTGAAGGTAGCAGTGCTGCATACCAGCATGAATAAAAGTTCAAGTCATTTTCAAATAATTGATGTTTTATTATGAATTGGCAAATATAAAGCACTTAACACAGTTCCTTGCTCAAACATAAATTATTGTTATTTAGTGACACATACTGTACCCTCATGCATCGTTTGGCAATGGTTCAATTCTCCAATCTGAACACCCAGACAAAAGCAGATTAGACTGGAGGTGACTCTGTCCTGGAAACTCAAATCTGTATCATTTTAAATTACTTTCTAAAGATCTTGTCTCACATAATGGCAGCCCGTTACTAGAAATCTGATGTACAGGAAAGAATGCACAAAAACTTTGGTCCTGAACAATAGTAACCTTTTCATAATAAATTAGCTTTCAGAACCAAGAATATGGCGCTAAGCTCCTCCCACTTCAACTATCCCTAGTACCCTCATTTTAACCCTCCCTATAATCCTAATGACCTATAACCAAGACCGTAACAATACCTGCATCCCCAACACTAACCCTACCTGTACCCCTCACACTAACCCTCCCTGTAACCCTTTTACTAACCCTCTCTTTATCTCTAACAATAACCCTCTCTATAGTTCTCACACTAACCCTCCCTGCAACCCTAACACTAACCCTCCCAGTAACACTAACAACCTATAACCCAAACACTAACCTTTTTTGAAACCCCAACAATAACCCTGTGATCCTCACACTAATGCTCCCTATAACCCGAACATTACCTCTCTCTGTAACCCTAACACTAATCTTACCTATATCCCTAATACTGACCCTTCCTGTAACAACTCTCCACACTAACTCCCCCTGTAACCATTTGTGCCAAAGCTCCGAAAGCTGCAAGCCCCAAAGTCCAGGCATCTACTTTGACTATTCATAGCTCCTCCATGTACTGATCTATGCTCTGATCAGAAATAGATATGAAGTAGTTAATTTGCGTCAGCAGTTCATATACTGGCAGAAGTCTGCAAACTGAACTAAAAATCTTTCTATAGCTGTGGAAACCTTGCTGGCATTACTGCAATCTGATTGGCTCTGTAGGATCACATCACATCTCCATATCAGGGCAGAACTTAGGCCCTATAAGACCTGCCATGCTTTTGAAGCCATCAGTTGGGACTTGCGATTCCTCAAAAGTTGTATATACTTTAGAAGTCCAATAGAACTTGAGTATGCTATGCTAAAATTAAGGGCTGGCAGTTTTGCAGAGGGCTGATTTTTCTGTCTGGGTAATATAATCCCAAAGCTTGTCACCTGTCCTTTCTTAAACCACTTAGTCCTCCACAGAAACCCTCAGGGGCCTCTGTGCCATTTCCACTCACTCCGTTGTCACTAACCCATAGAAGGCGGCCAGGTAGAACGCATTTCAGCATAATAAGCCGGCACCTGTCAGAAGACTTTAACAGTAGAAGCTGTCAGTTTTAGATCAGAAAAACAAAACAGCAACTTTAAAGTTCAGCCCGATTTCTGCCGTCCAGGGGATTTGGGGCAGATAATACCAAGATACTGTTCAACCACTGATGATAACGGAATTCTAAAAGCCATTAAATTATTTAGAATGGTTTGCATGTTTGCATGATGGTTTTGGTCCATTTTATTTAAAACCTTTTTGGAAAGCTTCGTGGTTTAGGAACTGATGTTTATATAATTTAATTCCTTGCTTGTACAAAACTTTTCGTACCCTATTAAGGTTATTTGCAGGGAGCTGACAGATGCACATCATACAATATCCAGAAATGGGACAACACCGGACTACCATGTGTACAACTATGATCCAACAGCAGCATTTTGTAGAGGATATTCTGCACAAACACAGCCAACTTTTCCACCCCAGAAGACAGGCCAGTGCTCAACACTTTGAATATCCCTCTAAATATGATTATTATAAGTAAATATATGTCTGCAGAAATATGGAGAACATGCTTGCTTCAGATCAGTGGCTTATTGGGTAGTGGAGCCACAATCAGGATGAGAGCCGTGGAGGAAAACAGTTTATAAATGGCAGATCCATATTTCTGTTGTTAAAGGTTCACTTTAAGGGTCCATTCACACCATTGCATTGTGTTCCTGTTAAATGGCACTTGGCGTATTTCCACAACAAACTCGATTAACGTAGCACCATGCATTGGGGAGCAATGTAACTGATCAGATTGGTGTAAATGGGCTCTAAAAGAGAAAATCAATTGCAGAGCCTTTTAGAAGGAAAACAGACACTCTTGGCACAGCTACCTTTGCTTTTACCCAGATTTCCAGGTGCAGTATGGACGCTAACAAATACAGTGGTACCTAGGTTCACAAACTTAATTCGTTCCACGATTCTGGTCGCGAACCGAATTGGTCACGAACCAAATCAAATTCCCCATAACGTTCATTGTTAATCCGTTCTGACCCCTACAAATGTGGTCACGAACCGATTTTGGTAGCGATCAGAATCACATTTTCCCATAAGGTTCAATGTAAATAAGGTTAATCCGTTCTGAAGCATATGCCAATTCATTACCGCTCTGCACTTTCTTTTTACCACCATGCTTGCTCTGCACTTTCTTTGGAGCCATGCTGGATTGAATAATACTGTACAGTCATGTATGTGCTAAAAAGCACACAAAAAAGCATCACAGCAAGTGTGCACAGGTCTGTCTGCGACCGTGATATTGACTAGAGGAAGCCACGACCACGTGCCAGAGCGGGGAAGATGGCCCCGGTCGTGTTCGTCACCCGATTTGGAGCTCGTGACGGAAGCAAAATTTTCCTGAACTTCCTGTTCGCAAACCGAATTGTTCGCGAACAGAAGCTTTCGTGAACCGAGGTATTACTTTAACTGCAGAAGCAGTTTAAAATGTACACTTTTTGCAATAAAACCTGTAGCAGTTTATGACACTTTCTGCCACTTTTAAAAGGGAAACCATACTGATATCGATTTAATGTATTTGAATTCATCCATTTATATACACTTTTTGTTGTACAAATAATAATTTAAACATTTACCACACGGTTCACGCATGACACATGATTCACATGACCTGCATTGGAAAAATATGGGTTTTCGAAAGAGAGAACACAGACAAAGCTGCTTGCTGTCAGACCCACTCTTTCTGATTGAAGCTTTCTACAAAGCTGTCTGTACACAGCAGAAGGAAGGAAGGGGGTGGAACACTGTTTCTCGAGGCATATAAGGACAAGCCCTTTCCCACTTTTTGAAAAATTAAATGCAATATATATATA